TGTCAGCACTGGGGATTTGGGAACACTGGGTCTATCGCAGACCATGACATTGTCACCCTGCAGGTGGATGCTGGTCAGAGATAACCACACTTATGTAGGACCCTCCAGGAAATTCTACAGCTACTCCGGGGGGGGAACCCCCAAACCGCCCCCCCAAAACCCCCCAAACACATTCTAACCAGAGGGCAGAATTAAAGAAAAAAATCAAGGCAGATTAGAGGCATTAACTTGGCTTTGATCTACAGGCCTTCTGTTCTGACAAAGGTGATTGGATTAATTTGACAGTTTTTCTCTCTCTCCCTCATTTCCTGCTTCCCTATCACTCTCTCTCATTTTTCTCCAGGTTCTCTTTTATGATGAAACTAGGTTAGTTATTACTTAGAATCATAATCTATTCATCTGTAATGTAAGTTGATTTTCTGATGTTTTCTCCCCCCAGGTATTAAAGTGAGACTAAAGAGGTTTCATTATTTTCCCCTGTTCTGTTATTGGCTGTTTCCCAGAAAGGTACACCTTTATATTCTCATTACCAAAGCTACTGAATTCACTGAAGTAACACATGCAGAACTTGTGGCTTTTTTCTTTCCTACCTTATATATTTTCAACATCCAAGGGCTCTCGGGGCCAATATCTGTGAGCACTTTCTTATTTAGAAGCTAGGCAGGTTTTGCTAGTAAGGGCTCGCAGTTTTTAAACTAATTTAAACCTTGTATTTTAGCTATGATAATTGATCATCATCACCCTATTTTTCATGTGGGGAACTTGAGACACAGAGAGGTTAATTAACTTGTCTCAGGTCACACAACATATAAGTAGCAGAGTTTGGATTCAAACCTAGGCAGGTGGGTTCCAGAGTTCTGTATGCTTAATTTCAATGCAGTGCTGTGTCTTCTATTTAGCTCATTTCCCTTCTGATCAAAATTTACGGGGGAAGAAGTGAATTCCTGACATCCTTCATTAGGGAGACTCTCACTCTGCATATCTTTGTGTTAAGAATGACATTAGAAATTGGGAAGGGTATTTGCTGGCTACAGAGGCTGCCTCTCCCACAGGTCTATATTTACAGTACAATTGCTGTGGCCTCTTCTAATTCTGGGGAACCTTAGTGGAGCAGCTAAGGAAGGAAACTTACTAGAGTATCGAGCTAGTTTATGACACAGGATTTTGGAACTTTATCCCCAAGGGGTTGTTACACTGGTTACTCAGAAGCTGTATTTAATATGCATAAGACAACTTACACATGAGACCCAGAGAGTCAGAACCAGGGGTAATGTCACAACCTTCTTCGATTCTATCATGCCTCTCTGGCTAAGCGGAGTTGTGCTTTTCTAACTGGAGGCTGCTGGATCTCAGGGTAATGCTCCACGGATCAGAGCTGAGCAGAGATGTATACTGTGCTCTGCAGGAGAGTCTCTTTTCTAAGGAGGGGAAAGGTTTATTCATCTCTGTTGGTGGTGGGGACTAACTCATGTCACATTTTTAGAAATGGACCAAAAATTGATTCTCTAAGTGTAGACTTTTCCCTTCTAAAAGCTAGTTCTACCTCAGGGAGCATTGATGTTGAATGTTGATGAAAAGTCCATCAAATCTGTGACTGTCAGTTTTGGAACCACTCGGATAAATAACCATATTTGAAGTAGTGTGAACACTCTGCTCTTGGAAACCATAGTCACATTCCAAATTCTGCCCATTAGTTCTTACCCTCCCATCATTTCCTTCATGACTTCCATGATTCTCTAAAGTAATGACACTTTCCATTTCTTGATTGGAAGGGCGTTGCAAGTGTTCTTACACAAAAGTTCTGTAACCTTAGGTTTTTTTCTCCCAGAGATGTTAAGAAATTTCAAAGTCATTTTTTTTCTAATTACAGAAATTAAACATCCTGGATCCTATATTAATATATATTCAATTATCTTATTTGAATGTTCTATAAACACGGAACAGTTTGCAGATATTTTTGTTGGTTTATCTACTAATTTATTTATTTAACCAATTAATTATTCACTAACCAAATAACTGGTTAATGTTTGTTGCCCCTCCTAGCATGTACACTTGATAAGAACAAGGAACTTGATGTCAAGTTTTTTGCTTTATCTTCGGAGCCTGAAACAAAGCCTATTTAGGGCAAAGACAGTACTCAATAAATATTGCTGAATGAATGCATGGATGAATTGTGTACACTGTAGAGCTGATAGAAAAGTGAAAGGAGGAACATAGAAGCCCTGGAAATAAACTGTATAACATTTAAAAGGTGTATATATAGGCAGTCTTTGCTTTGCATGGTAGGGCAAGGCCATAAATATGACTATTCAAGCTGAAATTATACAAAACAATCCTAATAATCAATGGGAGAAGTTACTATTTTTCTTTGACCTTTAAAAAATATTTGCCATATCATTAAAATCTCTCTTGCTGTTTCGTTATAAAGGTATAGGGGAATGAAAAAAATAATACAACTAGTATTTAGTACTAATTTTTAAACTAAGCTCTAATTTAAAATGTCAGAAATATTGAGATTAAAGTATTTTATTTCTTTTTAAAATCTTGTCAGGAGTGTTGAATAATGCTTGCCTTCTTCCTGTTGTACAACTTATGAAATGGAGCAGGCATCTTTTCTATACCCCGATGAATTGCATACTCCTCTCTAACTTTGGATCAGCTTCCAGCATTTTCTCCTTTGTGCTTTCCATGTCAAGAAAAGTCTCTGAGAGTTCCTTTAATGTGAAATGCTTTTTTTCTCCTCCTCCGCCTTCTTCCTCCCCCCCCCCTTCTTCTTTTTTTGCCTGCATCACTTCCTCTGGGACATCTTTGTCATTTTGGTCCAGCTACTTTCCTTATTCATGTTGTTTGCCTTCACTTTGTACTTTTTGACTGTTGTCTAGATTCTCTCGCACGGTGAATGGCAGCATTGTCAGCATCCCCATGAGCCGCTCTGTCTTTGATAACTCCGTTTACATTCGACGTGGATTTCATTTCCACCATATCACTCTTTGTTTCTGTATCACTCTACTTTCATCTCTGTTGGCCACTTTCCTCTTTTGACATGAAGGCAACACGGGTATACACTTTGCTGTCTGTACATGAACTAGTAACAAGTGCGCAGTGACCAGTCACTGACGGACTTTGCAAGAAGCATTATGATTGGTCATTGATCGGTCACATGATGCATGTATGTTACTAACATCATAATTTATGGACTGAAGAACTAGCAGTGAAGTTTGAACTTTATGTAATTACTCACAGTTAATATACTATCCTAACTGAAATTTGAACTGTATTACTGGGGGACTGGTGTTCTTTAACTAAATGGCAGTAAGTGAAGTTCGCAGACCTTGGAACCATGCATAGTGAGGGTTTCCCTCAATTCCAGACTTTATTTTGTGGACATATGTGTATTTTTTCTTCATTAACGTGGGATCACTTTATTCATATGATTTTGCAATTTTATTTTTCATTTAGCATTTTATATATGTAAAAAAATGATAATCTCGACTTCCATGTTTTATAACTGCATGGTGATTTACTGAATAGTTGTAGTGTAGTTTATTTAACCAGTCCTCCTTTTTGGACACTTAGGCTTCTCTTTTTCTCAATGATAAACAGTGTTGCATTAGTCACCTCTGTCTTTGAGGTAACAACTATGATTTCTCTGAAATGAATTATTTCTAGTGGTAGAATTACTGGCTCACATGATGTATACACTTTTAAAACATTTCCATATCCTTCCAAATTTCTCTTCAGAGAGAGATTCCCATTTAGGCTTCTATCAGTGACATAAATTGAGAGGTGCTGGTGCATGTGTCCTAAATCTCCGGCAATATTGGGATTGTCATTTTTTTTACATTTTTGCTATTTTCATAGGTAAAACATGTATTTTATTTTAATAATTAGTTTTGATTACTAGTTAGGTTGAATATTTTTCATGGGTTTGTTCATAGTATTTTTTGATCTGTGGAATTTCATATTGTCCTGTATTACAGTAGTTTTCAGATGGTAGAAATATTCTTGTTTTATTAGGTTGTTTGAGTACACCTGTTTCTACAATGTGTGTGTGCGTCTGTGTGTATATACATACATATGTATATACACATATATCTGTGTACGTGGACTATATTCACACGTATATAACATTCTTGGTTTTGCCCAGATATTATAAAGAGTATCTCTGGGCCTTAGTTTTGTAATATGATCATCAGTTCCCAAAGGCTTTCCTTTTCTTAAAAAAAAGAAGGAAAATAACCCACAACCTGAGGGAAGTTCTAGTTAATTTTTCATTACATGATTTTCAGGAGATAGGGTCAAAAGGAGCTCGTAGGGCATTCAATTATGTGCTTGAGTGTGTCAGAAAAATTTTTTTTCCTCAGGTGTACAATATTTTACTTGGGCTTGTTTTTCAAGTGCATTGAAGTGTGACTAAACATTTTTGGGTACTGCCCTTATGTAAAGAAGAGGCCCCATCTTGTTAAATATTCCTTCATCAGCTTTGCTCTTAGCCAGTTACAGGCAGCGAGGATCCTGTGAGGGCATGAGCTTTAGGCATTGGACAGAGGGAAGGTGGGTGGGAGGCGAGGGCCTGGGGGAAACTCCGGATTGGGGTGTGCTCTGCCCCCTCCCACTGCTGTAGAAAAAATGATTGGCTCAGGCTGGTTTCTATCTAATGATTTTGGATGGGTCATAAGTGAGGAAGGAGGGAAGTTCATGCGGTTGGACCTCAGCTCATCTGAGGGCTAAAGGTTCTTTGTCACACACCACACAGAACTGGAGTCCTGTCTTGGAGAGTGGTGGCGAGCTGAGATACAGTTTAGGACCCAAGGAACAGAGAAGGGCTTTGAGTTTTTTTCGTGTGTAGGTTGGGGAAAAGGGAGGCTCAGCAAGGACGATGTCCATGGAAAACGTGGCGGGGAAGTCCAACAGCCTTGGGGACAGAGGAAGAGCTCGAAGCTACACTTTCCTCAGGGTTGTCCAGCCAGTGTTTAACCACAGTATTTTCACTTCTGCAGTCTCTCCTGCCGCAGAACGTATCCGGTTCATCTTGGGTGAGGAGGATGACAGCCCAGCACCCCCTCAGCTCTTCACCGAACTGGATGAGCTGCTGGCCGTGGATGGGCAGGAGATGGAGTGGAAGGAGACGGCAAGGTGAGGCATGGCTGGCTGTGCAGTGCTGACCCGGGGAAAGAAGTGCAGGGCAAGATCACGGTCTGGGAGCACCTTTCTCTCACCTTCACCCTTTGAATAACTGAGGAGCATCGTGTTGGCTGGGTTAAGGAATCAAAGGATTCTTTTTCTTCTCTGTTGCATTGATGTGGATGCAGGACACCCTTTATTTCACTGCTGGAGCATTGTCACATTGATTCACGCTGTTACAGTTTTAACCTTTATAAAGAATTAGAAGTAAATCTGCATTCATGTGCTATTTAATAGTAAAATATCTTAAAGAGATAAACGCAAGCACCCAAAAATGGTAGCCTAGAGATATGTACCCACAGTTTCTGCAGTTAGAAGGGAGGTTGCAAAGACAGTGTTTACCCACAGACTTGCCATTATTCCAAGGAAAAACCTGTCATCTTTTTTAAGCACCCACGAAAGCAAGTAGAAGGTTCACTTGAATTTGGAGTTTAGAGACCTGAGTTAAATTTCAGATTCCGTCACCTGTTAGCTGCATAGAACTCAGTGTCGCAGAACTTTGATTTCATCATCAATAAAAAATGGATAATAATACCTACTACATATATATGTATGCAATATGAGATATGTAATACATCTTTATGTATTTTATTTAATATTTGTCTAATTATATCACAGATATTTACATACATGCCTATATGTATGTATATATATGGAAATACCTTGTAAATTGCTAAGCACTACAGAAGTATCTAAGGTTTCGTTCTTCTCATGATAACAGAGCTTTTCTTTCTTTCTACATATAGATTAAGTTGTATACTCCACACCGTATCTTCTAGGACATAGAACAATTATGTAATATAAGGAATTTGATATAATGCAGTTACTGGTCTCTCATTGTCGTAAGTGCATGGAGATTCAATATATTTCCCTTTCACAAGCAAAATAATGTTAAGATACACCTTTTATAGTCTGCAATTTAATTCAAATCAAATTCAACTGGTGTTTTTTTGAATGCATAGTATATGTCAGGCACTAATGAGGTACTGAGAATAAAGAAGTGAGCAGAAGCAGCTCACACATAGATTATTGTATCTTCCTCAAGTTTCAAGTGTGTTCAATATAATATCTTTACAATCTGAGGAATGAGGCAAATCAAATCCTTCTGGTAGCTTTGGGTTTAAAAAAAAGAATAAAATAAGTGAAAACCTTCTTCTGTGGATTAGATGGAAAAGAGATTTATGTCTGTTGTTCCACGTCTAGTTAGGTCATTCTAGAATCAGAAAGAAATATATTTTTTTATCATCTGTGATTAGTAAAAGTTGATGAGATATAAAGAACCACTAACTCAATTGTCTCTCCTTTTCTGGATGAGGTTCTTTTGAGAATTAAAGGAAGAACTTTTATTTTCTGGGGCATATCTTTTTTTTTTTCTTTTTTAAAGTTTCTTTAGTAGGCTCTACACCCAATGTGGGGCTTGAACACATAACCCTGAGATCAGGAGTCGTATGCTCTTCCAGCTGAGCCAGCCAGGTACACCATTTCTGGAGCATATTTTAAAAGCTTCATGCATCATATCATTTCTAATCAAGTGTTCATCAAATTAATTGGATTTTTTGGTAATTTTTGTTTAGTTACTGAGACTTATGCTCTGTAGGTTTATGGATTTATTATCATTACTGCATACTAAGTACTATTGAATGTCTCTAGGATTTTTAATGATAGAGAAGCATCATAAATTAATTCATTTGATAATGATAGAGAAGCCTTTATTTCTCACCAAGAATTTCTAGGTAGTTTGGTCTTGTGGAAACATCTGCTTTAAAAGAAAGTTCAGTAGAAAAAAAAGTTTAGTAGAATCCATGGATAATTTCATATCTTCCATAACTTGAACTGTGCCCAGAAAAAAAAAAATCATTACATTTTGCTCCTAGCCCTCCCAGTAGCAATAAGGGAAGAGACCTAATCTTAAATATGTTATTTTCCATTTGCTGGATAACTCTTTCTAATATTCAGACACTAATAGGGGGTGTACTTGTTCTAACTCTTCTGTTAATATTTTCTCCTTCTTATTAAAAACCTATCCGTAGCACATTTCCGCTTCTCCACCTCTGATGCTCCCTCTTGAAGCTCTTCATTCTTGTCCTTTCAGGACCTCTTTCCATGATACAGTAATTCTCTCTCATTGTCTTCTCTTAGTCCTGATAACCTGGAAATTAAAAGTCCTACATAAGTACACTTTTGGTTCATAAACATCCTCCAAAAGAAGGCTTTCAAAGTAGAATCTTTTACTGGTATCTCCATTTCATTCTTTCTTTTCCTTCTTTCTAATAGAAAAAAAACAAAACAAAACAACAGAGTGAGAATCGTACTGGTACATCCTGAATTAAGTGTTGGGGAGATTTTGGTCTAGTCTTGGCTTTGTTGCTGATTGGCTGCTTCGCTTTGGGCCAGTCACATACTCATGCAGTCTTCTTCCTGAGATGAGTGTTCTCTTCTACCCAAAGAAGGTGATACTGCGTTGCATCTCTGTTAACTTCATGCATCGTTTATAGCATAGTGTTATCTATCCCTGTCTATATACTAGTTTAGTCAGTTATGACCAGAAGTGTTACTTTGATTCATACTTACTTCTTGAAATTCTGTGTGAGTACCTATCATAGAGTAGAATTCGGGTGTAGCTTTCTGCTTTCTCTCTCAGTCCAAGGTGGACTATATTTTATGTGACCTCTGGTCTCAGAAAGGTGGAGAGGTGACACTTCACTGTGTAGGTAATTCAACACTGAGTGAGATGGACGTAGAACTTTCATGTAAGCTTCTTACAATGGAGATAATTTTGGATACTTTACCGTCCTTGAAGACTCTATTGCCTTCAGAACACATGTGTCATTTTTGGTGACGTCATTAGCCCCTGAGAGACTGGACTGCTGGACAGAATGTGTGGTGGGAGTGCACCATGTGTTGGTGGTGGGAGAGGAGGGGCTGTCCGGGAAGAAACATACTCACTCCCACCGGTCTACACTCTGTAACTTCTGGGTGGGACTTGCCACACTTACTACTGCTTAATTAAATGTAAGTGTGATATTGTTTTCATTTTGTCTCCTTCATTACGCTGATTCATCTGGAAGCAGGGACCATCATGTCTGTCTTTCATGACTGTATTCCCAGTGCCTCACACTATAATAGGTGCTTAATAATATTGGTTGAGTGTGGTTAGTTGAGAATTGATTGCCTTAGAAACAGCTGTTCTAAATATCATACTTTTTTAGATATATTACTTGACCAAAGCTGGAGTTCTGTGATAATTCTTCTCTTTCTGACTGATGGACAGCTGAATGACAGACCAAAGGTATCTAGCACACCACTGATAAAGGTCAGAGAGGACCTGCGTTCGAAGTTTCAAACTAATTCATCAGTATGCTGCTGCCATCCCCCATTAAGTTGTCTAGCCCAGACTTCTTTCCTTGTATGACTGAAAACACATGATTGGATGGCTAATACACAGTTCTTGAAGTAACATATCTAAAATTGAGCTTCTGATCTACCTGCCTCAGATCTGCTCCTCCCGCAGAGTTCCCTACCACAATGGACAACTCCATTCTTCTAGTTGCTCAAACCAGAAACACTGGGATCTTCCTTGACTTCTGCCTCTCCCTACACTCCTTACTCGGTCCATTGGTAAACCCTATTTATTTTACCCTCAAAGATACTCAGATATTCAGAATCTCACCACATCTCACATTCAGTACTGCCACAATCCAGGTCCAAGCTGCTGTTGTTTCTTAAACAGATTATTGTAAATGCTTCCTAATTAGTCCATCTCTCTGCACCTGCCCTTACCTCCCGCATGAGCAATCCACCATGATACCTTTGGCCTTCTCTCCTACTTTTCCTCCCTTGTTCACTCCCTGGCCAGTCATGCTCCTATGCCAGGGACATTGCACTTGCTGTTCCCTCTGTTTGAAATCCTCCCCTTGCCCCCCCCCCCCCCCCAGTTATCTGCATGGCTCATTTTCTCACCTTCTTCAGGTCTTTTTTTTACAAATATTACCTTCTCAGTGACTACCCCATCTAAAATCTAAAAAGTGCCCCAACACTCTCTAACCCCCATCCTCCATTATGTTTTCCTTGGTACTTATCGCCATTTAGCATATTGCATATCTTGTTATTTTCTCTTCCCATTAAATTAAAGCTCCATGAGGGCAGGAATTTTTAGTTGTTTTGTACATAACTATATCTCTAGTTCCTACAACTACCTGGCACACTGTCCGTGGTCAAGAAATATGTGTTAATAGAATTAGCTCCACCTAAATCCTCTTGGGAGGTTGGAAGGTAATTGTGCCTCCAGAAATGATTCAGTTTTAATAATCTCTAGTTCTTGCAACATACTCCACTTCAGAACATTTTTGCAGTAATTTCTGGTTGCCATTTAAGATGTCTGGTTTCTAGAGATGATAGGGCTTTTTCTCCCCACTAAAAACTCTCAAACCTATCAGACTAATAAAAGTTTAATACTTAGAAGGGATTCATTTTATATATGAAAATGTGCTGTGAATATTTTTCTGGCTGACTTATACACTTGAGATCTTTGCTTTTCTGTGAAAATCCCAATTCATAGACTATTTTATTCCATAGAGAACTAACCCGCTAGACTTCTCTAGCTTAATGTAGTTTCTACTGTGAGCTCACACCCCGACAGGACACAGTTCTACCCCTTTTAATGATCTATGCTTTTTAGGTAGCTAATGATTTGATTTGACCAAAAATATCCTCCATTGATCCTCAGCATTACTGCAGTTTCAGTTTTAGTCAGGAAGTTCAGGTTAAGCTCTGTCTCAAAAAATAAAGAGAATGGTTTCAGTGGTAGGAAAAATATCCCAGTTTAAGTCTTGGAAGGCACAATAGTCATGTAAAATTATGAACAAGGGAAGTCTTTATTTATATGAAGTTTGAAGTTCGGCCAACTCTACCACCCCCTTTTCTTCACATCTTTCCCTTGCTTTTCCCTTTCCTAAAAATTAGAACTTTGGATTTTTATTGGCTCTTCCAGCATAAAGCACAAATTGAAGACTGTGCAAAGGATAGAATGATTCGACCTGAGAAGCATATATGATGAGTGGAATGCCGAGAATACTTTTTTTTTTTTTAAAGAGTATTCCTGAGTGTTAGGTTATTTGAATACTGACATTTAGTAATGTAGCAGTAATTATAATGGAGTATTTGGTGTTAGTGAAGAAGCCTATGCTCCTTGTTGAGAATTTCTAGGTGGCTAGGCATTAACTAATAGGTCCATGACACAAACTGGTGAAAGAATAAGTCACGGTCCAGCTTTGGTGTTGGCCCAAAGCCAGGAAGAAGGGCTACTGCCATTCCCCACCATCCCAAGCTCTTAATTTCTTTGAGATGGTGATGTCTCTGTAAAAATGGTTATTGGCTTTTGGTTTTCCTTCAGTGGATATTCAGATGGGTAATGTTGGACTTCACTGTTAGAAGAATATATGGTAAAGGTCAGTCCCCCAATGTGGTTTAGTTTTTGTTGCCAAACCTGGGTAAAAAGGAGAGCGGTCACAAGCTTCAGCAAAACCAGCCAGCAAAGGAAAAGGGTATTGATGTTTTAGTTCCAGTGGGATAGCACAGTTGAACACCCATTTGTGTTTCTGCTTGGCAGACTGATCCAGCCTACCTCTGGAAAACCCTGATTTCAGGGCATGACCATCAAGCAAGACATGCGTCTTGACCCTGGGGATTTAGAGAGAGAGTGCTCTTTTCCCAATCTACACTGACTTCTCTGTCTTTTCTCTACTGGATTACTTTGGAACATTCCATTTCAGAACAAGTTTATTTCTTCTGTAAGAAAAAGGCTGAAGGAAAAGGCATCTAATTGTCTATGTAATTATATGTAGTCACATATACTGCTTTGCAATAACTTTCACAGTTGATCTAGAAATTTGAGAGTTCTCCCTAAAAACATAATTTACCCCAGATACACACTAGTGTTGGCTTCTTTTATGTAATGAGGCACTTATTAGTTAGCAAGAAATTTGTTATTTTAATAGTCTTATATAGTTGGATTATATTCTAGGGCAAAGGTCATGTCTATTTTCCACTGTAAAATTAGCTTGTTTTTAAGTTAGAGGTCTTGTCTTTTCTTAATTATATTTAATCATATGATTGGAAAGTTGCAAAATTCAGTGACTCCCAGTGGGCCTTCTATTTCTTCAATAAACGAATGAAATGCTGTTTGGTTGGCAGTCACTCAAAGTGCGTTAAACTGCAGTGTACTTTCTTCTAAGACCTTGAAATAAACTTTACCTAATAAACTCTTCCTCCAAGGTTACAACAGTTTTGTATTTGCAAGCATTTAAAAAACTAACTTCTGTAATTAATTTTCCTATAAAATGTTGAGTACCAAGACAAAAGGAAAAGTAGGAAACTTCCTGCAAATATATTGTTATTCACAGTCACTATGAAGGGTAGATAGTAGCTTATAGTACATTTTACAGTAAAAATGTCTGTTTTTTTTAAAAAATGTAATTACATGGTTCTAAGTCACCTTAACAAATTCATTGGCACTCGGGTAGGCTGAACTTTGGTACCTCTGCCTTAGCCTTTTCTTTAATGGGTTCTGATTTGAATTGCGTAGTTTTCAGGTTTTTTTCAAATTTGTCCTTGGTATGTGAGGAGGATAGACATAGCATGTGTAGTTTCTGGAATGAAACTGCATGCACACAATCTGTTTAAATGGGCAAACCATTACTTTATGTCTGAAAGCATATGTTGGAAGTATAGTCCGTTCCTTGAACAATCAGAGCAATACATTTTAAGGGAACTTAATAGCCATTATCCCAGAGTTTCCCGTATGTTGTTAGTTTCCCGTATGATGATATGACATCATCACAACATTCAATATTTACTAACCTCAAAGTGAAATAGATGCTAAACTGAACTATGATATAATACTTATCCCTTAGGAATGTAGATTCTAAGGAACTGGCTAGTTTTGAGATTTTATGTTTTCATTCCTTTATAAATTAAATCTTGACCTAAAGGGCTGGTGTATTCCAGGAGGGTGAGTAATGCTATTCCATATATCCAAGCTGGTTGGGATTTATGATTTCTAAATGTACTGTTACAACCTGTTTAAAGTCATATTTAAGTCTAGTCAGGTTGCCTCTACAATACAAACTGTGGGGAGGAATGAAACTAAAGATTGGTCACAAAAGAATGCAGTCGTTTTGCTCCTTTTTGGTTTTTAAAGATTTATTTATTTTAGAGAGAGAGAGAGAGAGCATGTAAGTTGGGGGAGAGGCAGAAGGAGAAGGCGAGAAGCAGACTCCCCGCTGAGTGTGGATATGCAGGGCTAGATCTCATAACCCTGAGATCATGACCTGAGCGGAAACCAAGAGTCTGACGCTTAACCGACTGAGCCACCCAGGCGCCCCCCCGTTCTTTTTTATTTAAATTCAATTAGACCAATGTATAGTACATCACTACCCACCCCCCCTTTTTTTTTTAAAGAAAATTGTATTAAACTTACATGGTTTGGACAGATGAGAGTGATGGCAGAAAAGAGCTGCTCTCACATATGTATGTATTTGGCAATACAGATTTCTGGCAACTGATACGAAGGGAGGACTCATTCAGTAGAAATAAGAGGGACATGAATGCTGTATAAAACACTCCCCTTTAGTGAGTTTCTAGCTGGCTTTTGTTATTTATCTTGGGTTTAAATCCTATGACCTAAGATTCTATCCCTCAGCTAATAAGAATTCTCTCAGGAATAAAAACAAGGAGTCACTACACTCTTTATAGATAACATCCTTATATGTAATCCTGACATGGTTTTGATATACTAGAGTCTTATCTTGAGTAATAAATTATAACATCAAATGTAAATACGATTCACTGTGATGTACACCTGAAATTGGTAGATTATTTTATGTCAATTATACTTCAATAAAAATACTCTTCAAAATTATTTTATTTTATTTTATTTTAAGCTTTTATTTTAATTCCAGTTAACATACGGTGTTGTATTCGTTTCAGGTGTACAATACAGTAATTCGACACTTCCATACAACTCCTGGTGCTCATCACAAGTGCACTCCTTAATCCCCATCACCTATTTCACCCATCCCCCCACCCCCTCTCCAAAATTATTTTAAAAATGTAATATGATTTATGTAACAGTTATCAACAAATATGGTTAAAGATTGTGTGAGCTAGCTTGAAAAGATAATATACCAAAAGTTAATCAATGAAATATATGCTGTAAAATGATTACTCTTGAAATAACTCCAGTTACCTTTTATCTTTTTGGCAAATCCATAGAATTCAATAAGAGTATGATGTAAAATTGTCATTTTTCTCCCCTTTCTATTTCTGTGGGACTAATAGCAACCAGAGGGAAGAACTACTAATTTAATTGAACACACACTCACACGAATATTAAGGGTCTTTTATTCTCTTTTGGGGTGTTTCACAACTACTTGTATAGGAAGAAACAAGGTCCAGTTCTGAAGCTTTAGAACTTTGGTGGTCATGTGGGCTTTTTAACTTGTGAGGAAAATACGTAAAACTCTCCACTGTTTACATTTTGGGGGGACACAAAGGAAAGGAAGAGGGTCTCGGAATTGAGGGTGAGGTTGGAGGTAAGGTTACCATTGACATGTGGGAATGCCCTGGCTGGCAGAGGCTTCCTGAGAGGAGTGCAGATGGGGGCTTTGGATATGACTAAATACTTCTCAATTGCATGAGTATTGGGCTTGATTAAAATTCTAAATTTTCTTTGACTCTGTGGCTGATCTCTTGATCTGTTTTCACTCCTGGTTCTACTAATGTGTTTTTTTTGCCTCCTCTTGGGGGTGGTGAGCAGTCTATAAATAATACCTTATGTAGAGCTTCCTCTGATCTCTGCCCTTTGTTCTCATCTTTAGTGAGCTAGGTGAGCGTTTAGCTTTTTCTAGGAAAACATTTTTCAATCATTAAACCTTCGGGTGAAGAGTGTAGGAAAACAATTTTTTTTACCCCCTCTGTATCTTTTTCAATATTTTTCAGAAGGTTTGAAGTGAGAGAAAGAAGCATTTTTCTTTGGGTCATCAGGAATAGCAAAATGATGATGCTTTCATGTTTTCCTTTACCAGTGTAGAAAGTGTCTGTGCAATACATGGGACATAAAGACTGTCAAATGTGTTGTGTTTTCATTTCCATTACACTTTTAAAAAGTTGCTCTGTATTGCCAAGTTGTCGAGACATCTAGGAATCTTAGAAAGAAACTATGAAAGTGGGCTGTTTGTTCCATTGCTAAGGTTAATAGGAGATCTGTTATCAGAATAGATGTGTTGTTCACGGAACTTGTGTATTTTTAAACACATGTGGAGCCAGACTTGAAGGGTAAAGTTTCCATTAGAATCTCAATGAGAAGGGAATGTGTGTCAGCTGAGAAATACGGAGTAAGACATTGCCACATATGCTGGCCCTCTTTAAGTGTTAAAGGGGAATTTTATATTCTTCTGACCACGTCATACACCATGTTTTTCAAATAATTAAGATAAATATTGGTTCATAACTGATATTTCAACTTACATAAACTTGCCTTGTGAAGTCACAACAGAATTCTCGCAATGGTGGTTATTTTTACACAGTGTGGGCTTTCATGAAATTTTGAAATGCACATTTTTCCTATGTTATTTTAAAAATTTAGCAAAATAATCATTCTTCAGGATTTCATGGTTACATATGGACAGATATAAAACCAAGGATGCTTTGGATCTTTCAGGTTTATTTTCTTTCTCTCTAACACCAGGGGAACACAGTCTAGTGACTCTGTTCGGTGTGTTTATAAAGGTAATGCAATTAATGATATAATAAACTTTTAAGACTACACCAAAGGAGACATTTTGGAAGTGCTGGTGGGGGTGGAGATGGCAGGCTTGATGTAGCTATTTCCAGAGGAGGTTGGAATACTTTTAATTGCTGTTCATTAATCTCATGTTCCTAGGTGGATTAAGTTTGAAGAAAAAGTGGAACAGGGTGGGGAAAGATGGAGCAAGCCCCACGTGGCCACATTGTCCCTTCACAGCTTATTTGAGCTGAGGACATGTATGGAGAAGGGATCCATCATGCTGGACAGGGAGGCTTCGTCTCTCCCACAGCTGGTGGGTAAGTATGTTGTTTTAAGTTTTTATCATTTTTTTTAAGCTTTACTAACTATCCATGGGTCTCCATTCATGCACATGACTTCTAGTGTAAGCAGAGTTGAATATTCTATAACATTTATTTTCACTCTTTTTTTTATATTATAAGACAAGTAAGGGTTATTGCAGAAGATTTGGAAAGTACAGACAAATATTGAGAAGAAAATGAAAAAAAGCATCCATCATACCTCCATAGCCGTTGTTAACATTTTGGCATGCTTCCATCCAGTTTTTATTTCTTGGTCTTCTCTCTCTTCTTTTACTTTTTCGTGTTATTTTTTTATTGGGATCACAATGTTTATGTACAGACTGGCATTCACCTCCTAACCTTATAAGGATAAGGTTAATATTTTGAGTAGAGGCTTCCTCTCCCATCCTTGGTTATACTGAACTGGAGGTCTGGAGACTAGATTTCGAGAACTCCGACTTTGGACCTTGCACTGAGCTTCTCTGGGCCTCAGTTTTATCATCTGTAAAATAGGGCTTAAATCCTATGTAAGAGGAAAAATCGTCTAGTTGGTGGGTTGGGGCTGCTTTTGTAGGTGGAAGTCAGGATCCTTTAACTGTATGGAAGAAAGTTTGTGTGGGGCAAGGAGCCAGCAGAACCTTATGGGCTAGTGACTGAGTCATGTCACATTGGTGCTGAGTATCAGTTATACCACCACCACCAAGTCCCACAACCTCATGGTACAGGGCTGCATTGCTCTCTTTTGCAATTAGTGTTGTGTAGTGAATGTTAACTCACCATGTTGAACTTCTGGGGCATACATTACTACCTCCCAAACAGTAGTCATTGTTTTCATTTTCTGACAAAAGCCTGGACTAAACTGCCTTATTACCAGTCAGAGCCAGGTGTGCTGAAGATCATGTTTTTCTCAAAGAGAAATGCAAGGGCTCTGTGTGGCATTCCTAGGAAAATTCATTAGCTAGATGACCACTGGACCTATATGGATGACTACACTTTCCCAAGGGGCCTGCAGGGTGCCTCATTTGGGGTTATGGGGAAGAGGATGTGGATTGTGGCCCCATCGAAAGTGACCAGTGTAAAATTCTTGTGTGATTTCAGACTTACTACAACATTTCTTTGAATATCTGGAGCCAAAAGGCTTGTCTGTGGCTTGTGTGTGTGTGTGTGTGTGTATGTGTTTCATAGACAGTGGGAAAGAGCTAGCATTTGTTCTGGAAGAAAAGATTAGTTTCCAAATAAGGCATGCATCTTCCTGATGTATATGTAACTGATTCTTCTTCAGAGAGTTTGTTAGTTCCATTTGCAAAGAAGTCCTACACTTTTCATAAACTCGAGGTGCTTAAGGTACAAGTAGAGAAGGGGGTAGGGCTAATGTGAAGAAACTGGGTGGACAGAATTAATTAGTTCATGCATTTATTCAACAGTGGTGCATGAGCTTCTGCAATGTACCAGACATTGTTCTAGGCCCTGGAATTAGGTTTGCAAATCTGTCACTTTGTAAATGGGTAAGTTACAAATCCGCATCCACGTAGTTAGAAGATAATGTAGGAAATAATCTCTATGTAGAATTTTTCATATTTGACAAGGCAAGTGAGGCTGAAAATGGGTATTTGGATATATTCTTGTGCCCAGGGAAGATGATCCTATCTACAAAGAAACAAACAGAAGTGATGGTTTTCTGGGTGATTTATTTTACTGCAAAGGAGATCGTTACTCAAAAAAATATCATGGTTAGCAAAAATCCGTCCAGTTTTTGAGTGAGAATTGCAATTTGTGTGTGTTTAGACTTTAAGAACTAATCTGGAGCGAAAATGTCTGAAATTAGACAAGTTGAAAAAATAAGTCAGAATTCATGAATGCTGGGTAAAATGGAAGTTAAACTCGTGACTGGGCAAGATATAGGCAACCCCGGGGGAGAATATGTGTTGTGGTTTAAGGGTCACTAGAAAGGTTCCAGTATTAAGAAGGTAGGACTTGGGTTTTTCTGTAAAACTGACTTTGAAAAAAGTCATCTCAAGGAGCTTTTGTTCATCAGCAATTGACTGATCTTTTCCATGCACTAGAAGACAGAATCCCACATTATATTGGAGCCTTGTTAGCCAATGGCCAAAGAAGGAGGTTCTGGTATTCACTAGATTTAAGAAAGGGTCATTAAGCATGTTAAGTTCTCACTTTTATTTTCCATTACTTTTTATTATCAGTTGTGGAGTTTTTCTCTAACCACCATCTCTTCTAAAAATTGCCATTATATTTTAAAATTAGACACCACCAGGTCACTTTGAAGTACCATCACTCATTCTGGAGCTGATAATACAGAAAAACAATTCAGAGGCAAATAACACACATTAGAACGGAAGGAAGGGAGGGAGGGAGGGAGGAAGGAAGGAAGGAAGGAAAGAAGGAAGGAAGGGACTGATGGAGGGAGGGAGGGAAAGAGGAAGGAAAGGGATCAGATTTGCAGGAGTGGAGAGAACATGTTTGAAAGAGTGTAACTGTCTGAAAAAAAATATTTAAAAATCCTCAAAAGAATCAAAGCCTTATAGAGGGTTAAAACACATGAAGGATAAAAAGCCCTAATTTCCTTTTAAATGACAGAAGATGGCACAGTAACTTGAAGAATTATTGTCGTTATTTATTTGGTTATGAAAAAATCCTTTTCTAGCAGAGGGTCAAGTGGTCGCTTTGTTCTGCATCATGCCGGTAATTCGGAGTTGAGAATTATGTACAGCTAAACCTCTAAGGTGCATCTCCCCCTCCCCTGCATTTTTTATCTCTACAAAAGGGAAGAAAAAGAAATAATAGTGACTATACAAACAAACAATAGCATGGTTTTTATCTTCCGTTGCAGTGCACCTGCTCCTCCTTCTCGGTGGCCTGTCTGGGAGGCAGCCTCTCTCTGCAGGTGCGGAGCCGTCACCACGTGACTGCTTAAGCAGGTGCTACTTCTCACACTTACATACAGCATTCAGCCTCATTCTGGTTCTCATCGGGACACCTCCTTGTTTTCTTCATGGAGAAGCCCTTTTGAATGCTAATAAAAAAATTTGTCTTGAAAGTAATTAAAGGATAAAACAACACTTTCATGGATTATTTTAATAGCTTGATTATTACTATCATCATTATAATCCTACAATTAAAGAGTGACATTCACAAATGCAGGCAAGTACATGAGAATTTTCCTGCCCTCCTAAGTTAAAAAAAAATGATAAGCCATTTCAGTATTTTATTATGATGGGAAATGGATTAGGAAAATGTAGCTCTGTTTTTGGAGTTCTCATTTTTATATTTGAAGGCATTCCTGAGCTGTGCATGTTGGCAGATGTGTTAGTCATGTTGTTTCTTGCTTTTAACACCTTTTATATTTTCAAAATGGCAATGTATTTATTTTTTATCATAGAACTAATGTTCATTTCCAAATAATCCAGAAAAATACAACACACAAAAATCAAAATCCCACCATTCACGGCTACCCTCCCAGCAGTTTTTCTGTACATCTGTTTACACATGTGAAATTTATTTTATAAATGGTATCATACTATAACACTTTAATCTGCCCTTTTTAATTTAAAAACTTAACGTGAATTTCTTTCCATGTGATTAAATGCAAAATGTAAACATTTTGATGGCTGCAAAATATTTAGTAATCTATTATTGGGCATTTAAGTTGCCTTCAAGTTTTTATTTTAAAGAATAGAAGTGAACATTTTTGTTAGACTTTTGTGAAATTGTTTACTTTTTTAGTATAGATTTCTAATGGTGAAATATCCAAAGAATTTGAACATATTAAAGGGTTTTTTTATGTTATTTGCCTAGTGGCCTTCAGGAAAGGTTGTACTAGTTATTAACGTAATCGTCAGGATATGGGGTTCCCTATGGCACTCCCCTTCACATCACTCTGGGTTGCTCGTTTACATTTTGCTACTTTCATAGATTTACAAAAATCTCATAATTGTTGATATTTATATAAACTTGTTTAAATTGCTTTTGTTAGTCCTGAAGTTTAATCTTTCTTGGGCCTTGTATTTCTTTTAAAAATGCTTGTCACTTTTGGCCATCTTTTTGTTGCATGAACATCATTCTGTTGGTTTGCAGAAGCTCTGGATATGTCAATTTTTTTTTTTTTTTTTGTCTAGAGCTTACTTTTTTCCATAAGGAAAAATACTTTGTGATATGGAAAAAGATGTAAACTGTGAGTCAGAAAACCGGGTTCTACTTGGGGGGTTGTGTCTCTAGTTAGGCTATAGCTGAGGGCAAGTAAACTTTTTTGTCTTTTGCCCTCTCTCTTCCGACCTGCACAACAAGAGGTTGCAAACTTGGTGTTTCCTGAGGTTTCTTTTGGTTCTGCTCTCTACAGTTGGCACGTTCTCTCTCAATTGGTAGTGTTTGTGGGATTTTGAGCACTGAAGGCTTAATTTCAGTGTAGCTGTAAAATGTTACTGCCCCCACTTTCCTTGAAAGGTTTTGTAGTTCGTGCTTAAAAAAAATCGCTGTAATGTGGGCCGTTTTATGGAAACTTAATGAAGGGCATAAGCCACACAGATGTCTTAACCTGTTCTAACTGGTGATTTCCAGGCATTAGGAGCAAAGGGCCTATGTGCGGATAGGTCTGAGATTACAAGGGAAGGCAAGCATAGAGGGCGGGCCTGCCAGGAAGGGTAGATAAGGAACACTTGAATCCACAACCCTGGAATTAGAGTAGGAGCTTGATAACATGTGCCGCGGGTACGCTGGGGCTGTTTGTTTATTTTTATGGTTCTTCTGTAAAATGGACCTTCCACACTGAGCAAGACTTCAAGGGAAAGGACAGGAGTAGCACCTAATTATTTAACTATGGAACAGAGGTTTAACTGTAATTACAGGATCAGTTCTGAGCGTTTCACTGAGAAGGGTTTGTGCAGTTAAAAACACTCAGAGCTAAAGGCCACTCTCAAACCAAAACATTCCTATGGGAGAAACTCTCCCTGCCTTGCCCAAGCTCCCCACCAAGTGGCCCAGTGTTATGTGACATTTATGGCCTCTGTGTAAGATGTGTGACGGAAAATCCTGGATTCAGCCTCCTCTTGGCTTCCAAGTAGCTGCTTGTATACTGTGTAAGTTGTCAGTGTCTGGCTATAGGCTGTCAGGCCAGTTCTTCGGGTGCTTCCTATTAAGATGGTCTTCCGGGAGGTACAGTTATGCCCCAGCAGAGCCCCTGGAACATCTGTAACTTCTCTTAGGAGATGTTATTAACCTACCAGTTCCCATCACTTTTCTCATCAGACTTTTACAAGAGAAGAGCTTTTGTTCTCATCTCCACTTTTTAAAAAAAAGATTTATTTGAGAGAAAGAGCGCGCACATGAGCAGGGGGAGGGGCAGCGGGAGAGGGTGAGAATCTCAAGCAGATGCCCTGCTGAGGAGCATGGAGCCTGACATAGGGCTTCGTCCCAGGACCGTGAGACCATGACCTGAGCTGAAATCAAGAGTCGGATGCTTAACCGACTGAGCTACCCAGGTGCCCCTCTCATCTCCACTTTTGTATACTGGGAACTTTACCCAAGAGGAGAATGTTGAGGTGTGCTAGATGCACTCATACACCTGAAAAGGTAGGCATGGGATCCACTCATTGTTCTGGTTCCATGCTGGGGACAAGAGCTCCACCTGCATACAATGAATGAGGTAATGTCCTGTCACTGCCTATCTTGTGTAGGTTCTGTGATGATTCGGCCAGATCCCTATTCTGGACAGAGGAAATGTCGACCTGTCATGTGACATTAGAGAAGGATGCACCAGGCTACATGTATGCCATACTGTTGACATGCTGACTCGTCAGAAAGAGGATTTCTTCTTTTAGAGTAAAACTTGTTCTTTAGCAGAGCCACCCATGGAGCAATTTCTGTGAAACACAGTTATCTTTTCCAATTAAAGCCATTCTAAAAACAAGAACTAATAGAAATTATAACTTTTTTGTAGTAAGACTAAAATTTTATATTAAATTCTGGTCAGTTTATATTTTAAAATGATTAATGGAATATATTGAAAAGGCTTTTGTTGGATCCAAATAAGAAGAATAGCCTCCCTTTTTAGAAAAGATGAAGGCATAATTTTGTAGTTTAGTCTTTCTTTCACTGGATTAATTGGTGTTCAAATAACCTGATATGGGGAACAGTATTGTTTTCCTTTCCTTTGTCCTCTATTTTAAGGAAAATATATCATTACAGAAGAATTTGGGAAAATAGATCTAAAAATCAGTATTGTTACTACATTAAATTCTGCATATTCTCTTCCAGTTGTTTTTTTTATATCATTTATAGTTCTGGCACACTTTCTATGATAGAGTACATGAAATTTTTTAATCTTTTTTTTTTTTGCTTAATTGAAAAAATGTAAATTACTGACTTACTGTGTTACTCATAGAAGAATGTGATTAATGTGAATTCACTATTAACTGGGACTGAAAAAAAAAGGACAAGATGATTCTTCCTCTCCAAACATAAAATTCATAGTGGAATATTTATAACTCTCTCATTAACACCAGAATCTCTGTGTCCTGTATCTTTACCCTTCATACAAAGAGGGAACTTGGAAATTTGGGAAATACTATGTTGATAGTAAGTTTGAGGATGGTGTCCATAAAGTTGGGGTAAAAAATTAACTTTGTGATCTTGTGACTGAATTTTGCTTTTTGTTTTTGTTTTGCTTTGTTTTTGTACCAGAGATGATTGTTGACCATCAGATTGAGACAGGCCTATTGAAACCTGACCTTAAGGATAAGGTGACCTACACTTTGCTCCGGAGGCACCGGCATCAAACCAAGAAATCTAACCTTCGGTCCCTGGCAGACATTGGGAAGACAGTCTCCAGTGCGAGTAGGATGTTTACCAACCCTGATAATGGTAATGCAGGGCCGAACAGCTGCCACACTCTCCTACCTTTCTCACTCACCTTTCCTCCATCTCCCGTCGCTGGTTGTTTTTACCCCTCTCTGTAGTTCTTCTTTCCTCAAGCTCATATGCCACAGCCATCTCCTAATGACACTTTTATCCAGTTGGGCAGGTTTGCAGTCCTGTTGGAAAGATTTCAGCAGCTACTAAGGCTGCAGATGCCAAGATTCCTTGCTTGCTCCCATATACCTCTAGTCTGATTGACTGAGATGGTTTGGTAATATCACTGTTATGACACAACTGAAAATTTCAGATGAGTCATCAAACTTGTAGATTTTTGAGTATATCAAAGAACATGCTTTTGACTTGGGGGTGTGTCAGAATCAGGGGGATAGACTGAGATATGAACAATCCTCTGAATTCTAGTATCATAAAGTGTTTGCTAGGTATGTGAGATGGTGTCTACTCTCTAAATCATTATTTATCCAAGTAAGGCTCAATATTAAATTTATTGCTTAATAAAGTCTAGGCCTATAAAAAAAAAAGAAAAAGAATAGTCTGCTCTTTTGTTATATGATAGTGATGGTTAGATGTGAGAATAATTATTCAAGGTGGAGTACAACCCCATTATATAGTAATAGGAAAGGTACTGTGTGTTATTTATACGCTGTTGCATTTAGTAGAGTTTTTTGTAAAGTATCTATCTTTTATATCATTGTCTTTGTTTCAAATACATTTCATGGCTGTGTATAATCTGAGAAGGGAGAAGTTAATTTCGAGGAAGTATGGAAAATGAAAGCATGATGGAAAGTGTTGCTGAACATTGCGCTGGTAGAACCAGGTCTCTCTCATCCTACCTTGGTCTTTTTTAGTACTAAGAGAAATGAGTAGATAAGGGAGCGTCTAATTCATTGCCTTCATCTGTACTTTCAGAATAGGGTAAAATATTTTGCCATGGGAAAGGTGGACTAAATGAATTGTATAAACTGAATTCTAACTTAGCCACTCCATTTCTGGAAATTGAGTTTTCTGACTTAATATTAAAACTAATGGTTAGGGGGAAGAGAGCTTACTGTTAGCCGACTTTCTCTGGTATATTTTTTGAACCATTCCATTACTGTAGTATCTTAATGAGTGTCTAGTCATTAAGTAGAACCAAATGAAAAGTTCAGTTTTATTGAATGACTTACCATTGATTTAACTGCTACCATAAATTTTTTAAAATGCAAAACAAGTTATAAATAAATAAAACAGAAAAGTGCTCTTTATATAAAAAACATTCACAAAAAGAAGAATCTAGAATATTCCTACTACAGTTTGATGGTTCTGTCATTACCTGCCATATTGCTGCTGTCTGGAAATGTTTTATTTTTTGAATATGTCTTTTGCTTCTTTCTTTCTTTTTTTCAATTGTATTTTTGGAAGAGCTTAATGGCTGGAAATGATATGGGATGAACAGTGGGTTACAACTGATGTCACAGAGCGGCCCTGTTTTTTAAAATTATGGCAACTAACGTAAAAGTCTTCTCTTTTATGTTTTATTTCTTATCGTCTTCCTCATTAAATGAAAATCCATGATTTGGGGATTAATTTTTTTTTTATCATGAAGTTGGTACTTATTGTTAAAGAAGCAAGAAAGTGCATTGTTTTCAAGTATTGCTATATTTGCAAAGAGAAGTGGAGTGAATATGGCAGAATGAGGGTGCCTTCCACCAGTCTGGTCTGAGCTTCCTTTTCATGAAGTGCAGGCAGAGTAGAAATTAAGAACAGATGGATCTTGGAGGCCAGTATTTTGTGTTTTAGGAGAAAGTATTTGGATATGGAATACAACTGATATGTTGATATCATCCATCATTCAATCTTTTATCCTATCTGTAGATCTTTGTACTTCAGAGCAAAGTTGCAATTGCCTTTGTCATTCACCTTTCACTTGTGAAATGTTATATACACTGGGCAGAAAGCAAATAGGGAGCACAGTCAGTTCCTTTCCAGCTCTTCAGTGGATCAGCTTACACCCTGAAGTGTGGAATATGATTAGGCCTTTTTAAACATGTTATTATTGGCCTTTGTGTTACCTAACTCCTTTTAAATATCCAGAGGCAAGATTTGACTTTGAGAGATTCTATAGTAATGACTTTCATGTACCTCTAAGGTGCGTTATTATAAATTATCAGATGACAAATTTTTGGTTGTCTAAAAGCACATTTTCTTATTTGCAAGTTTATACAGTTAGCTTTATATATTAGGGTTTAATTATTCGATATCTTTAACAACCATGAAATGTTGTTAGAATAAATTTCTAAAACAAAGAATTACATAGTTGTGGCTACTATTTTAATAAGTGAGAATCTTACATCTATTGTTGTTGGCGCTAGATTCCAACACTGTATTTCCATGTACAATCTAGATAAACTTCAGTTACTTTAGTTTTCTGTTATAGGCTAGAAAATAGACATTGTTTGCTTTAGTTATGATAGCAACAGTGCAATTAATAGCTGAAATTTATGGAGATACTTTGGAATTGGGATTTTTTTTTTCATTTCCCAGTGGTATGCTGGAGCTACTTCTATCCACTCATAGTAGCCAATCAGGAATTTTGCAAGCCAGTTGTTTCAACACAGCGACCATTAAAAATTAAATTATGTACACATACCATTAAATAATGATATTAAAAACAAAGGTAATTACTTAAAATTCATCATTTCCTACTTATTTTATTTCATTGTACCGGAATTTACACTCTTCATGTTGTTAACATCTATTGTGTATATATGGTGAAAATACTACAAAATGGTGTGTAGTCACCTCTTCCCAACTCTGTGTTCAGTGACATCATTTTGGTAGCTTGACCTAAGCCTTGGTGGTAGCATTTACACTGTAGAAATCAGCAAATTCAAATCAGGACCTGATTTACACTGTTTTGTCACTTGTCTGTAGGCTTTAAAAAGTGATGGAGAAAATGCTAATAGTGCAGATTAAATTGAAGTGTATAGTGTCTGTGGCCATTGCCTAGTCAGCTTGAGCTTTTAACAAATTACCATAGACTGGGTGCCTTAAACAATAAGCATTTATGTCTCACAGCTCTGGAGGCTGGGAAGTCCAAGATCAAGGTGCCACAGATTTGGTTCTTGGCGAGGGGCCTCTTCCTGGTTTGTAGATGGTTGCCTTTTCAGTGTGTCTTCACATGCCAGAGGGAAATCTTTCATCTTTCTCCTCTCTCTTTTCATAAGGGCGTTAATCCCATTCATGAAGGCTCTGTCCTCATGAGCTAATTTCCTCCCAAAGGCCCCACCTCCTACTATCACACTGGGTGGGAGGGTTAGGATTTCAACATATGAATGAATATTGGGAAGATACAAACCTTCAGTCCATAACAGCTTTTAAAATGTGAAGAGCACAAAGAATCCTGTAAATACTTGTCCGGTATTCAAAAACTATTATCCAGTTTAGCAAAGGAGTCACCCACATCATTGAGGAATGAGTGTAGTCTGACATATCTCTTCATTGTTTCACTTTTGTCCTACTTGTTAACATATATGATAATGAATGTTCAACAAGGATGTTGCAACTATGCTTGGTCGCCAGTTGGAACCATAAGTTGGCTATTGCTGAAAGAGTTTGGCAAAAGCTAACGAGGCATTCTATGAGAATCAACCGACTATATGTGATTTACAATAGAATATTATATATTTTATTATTACTTGTATGTGTGCTGCCTGTCCTTTATATCAGTAAAACTTACTACACACACACACACACACACACACACACAAGCACACACACGCGTGCGCTTTTTCCCTGGAGAGCTGGTTTTCTCAAACATTTAGCAGCATACCCACTAACAGCCCACCACTGTCTCTCCGTAGCTAAAGATTAACTCTCATATTTTAGGGTCCCAATGTAGCTTTGGGTTCAAGATAATTTAGTGTTTTTATAAATAAAATGTTTTTATTCATAATAAATCGGGAAAGAATCAGGCTAGCTTCCCAGATTTTAATTATTGTGAAATTACTACTTGTGTGAGACATCTGTGAGTTGTGATGGACATGTCTGCCAGGTACTAAATTTTAGGCAAGTGCTATAATTTCCCAATATATTAATTGAGGCATTTCTATGGAGTTAGTGTTAGGTTTTCATTTCCTCTGGTGTTAGATTTTCCTTCACTCACTCTTTTTCTTACTATTTTTTAGCTTGGGCCATATGAAATTGCCATTTCATAGGTAAAATAAAGTTGACTGTCAGCAGTTTCATATAGTTCTACTTAATAATTTGGTTTGAGATGCTTAGATAATCTATATTATTGTCGTTTACTATGAAAGAATAACAAGTAAGTCTAGGAACATTCCTTGGTGGCATTTAAAGATTAAGTAAGATGTATTTCATTTGCTCTTTATTAGAAAGTGAAAGAAAAGTTTATACTTAATTGGTATGTATTCAAAATATTTACTAAGATGTTTATGACAAGGTTACCTGATAACTGTTTTAAAGAATCATGGTTTGTAGAACGATCTGATTTTTAAAAAACATCACTTACTATTTAAATGGATACTTTTGATATGTAGTATCTAAGTTTATAAGAGACGAATGAGACCTGATTCAAGGACGAAAACCAACTAGGAACCTTAATTTGAGTACTCAGCTTGCACCACTTTTGTGGAAATTTGGGCAATGCCATTATCAATTTGTCCCTCTTTTTTTTCCCCTGGCTTCTTCATTTTTTTTTAGCCCTAGACTGTCATAGAAACCTGTTCCTTACCCTCCATTGTCTGTGAATATATATGCCCTTTCCTGACATGACTTTGGTTATCCAGTTAAACCTAGACTATGAATTTCATTTTTTTCCCAATCCAATTTCATGACCCCATTTTTCTTTAGTTTTTTTTCCAATAAAAAGTTAGAAAGGTAATTTAGTACTTAGTTCCATGTCTGTAAAACAGAGATAATGAAAATTAAATGAGATAATAATATGTAAAATGTTTAAAATGGTGACTGGCACATAGTAATCAAACAAA